TAATCGTGATGGATGTGTCAGAGGCAGTGAGATTGTCACAGGATAGAGCAGGGTTTAAGGCTGTTGTACATAGGGTCGCTATGAGTCGCAAGCGGCTCGACGGCACGTAACAACAACAACAACACCATTTTAATTGTGTTGAATATGTAGATTGCTTTTGATAGGATTGTCATTTTCATAATATTGAGTCTTTCTATCCATGAATGGGGCACATTTGTCCACTTACTTAGATCTTTTATTGTGTCTCACAGAAATATTCTGTAGGTGTTATTTTTTTTTTTTTGTAGGTGTTATTTTGTGCAGGTCTTTTGTGTCTTTAGTTAGATACACTCCTATCAGACTTCTTAAAAAAAAAGTTTTCTTTTTAAAGAATGACCAGTTTCAGAAACTATACTAAACTACTCTGAGGGATAAAAAAGAAAATAGAAATTCTAGTAGTGAGTGGGACTGTAGGCTGTAGATGGGAAAGCAGGCTGAGGGAGTAAAATTCACTCTGAGCGGAAAGGAGACTTCAGTGCACCACAGAGTCAGAACACTGTAGCCTGCAAAGCTCTGTGGCCGTGTTTAGGGATGAGGCACTGTAGCCTGTACACAGCAGGTGAGAGTGCAGCAGTCACTGTGTTATCTGGATACAAGCCCTGTGACTTAGAAGCACATCACTGTAGAGTATAACCTTGACCTTAGCATGACCCTGGTGTCTGAATTACAAAACAGATGAATAAGTTTCATGACAATAAAAACAGCAAAAACTCAACAATCAGAACATCATTGTATGAAAAGTTTCTAGAACAATTGATGAAGATTTCAAAATAGATTCATTGAAGGCACTCAATGAGATGAAGGCACACTTCTGTTTCAAAATATTGAGAAATCATGAAACAAAAATAGGTAAGGAATGAAAAAATGAATAGGCAAATTTTTAAAAGTCCACCAGAAATATTAGAAATTAAAAATAAAACCAGTGAAGCTTAAAATCACTACAGATCAGGTCAATTCCACACTACACACAGAAGAATAAAACACAAATGAAAGCAAATACTAAGGAATTATTTTAGAATTGAGATAATATAGGGAGCTCTACTGGCCTACTGGCAAGTGGTTTGAATCCATCAGCTACTGCACTGGAGAAGGATGAGTAATCTCTTCCCATGTGATTACCTACCTCTGAAAATTCACCAGAGGGTCAGCTATGGGTGAGTTCTGACTCAACAATACTCAGCAACAATAAGTATACTCACACAGAATAGAGCATGTATTTTTTTAATGGAAGGAAAATAAGAAGATAAGGAATCTAGACTTAATGATTTAACAGACACATAATAAGAATTTTTAGAGAAAAGGACAGAGAAGGTAGCAGTATTTAAATTTAATAAGTGAGAATTCTCCCAGATAAACTTGTTAGTGAAATGACAGAGTAGGAAATTACAGTTTTCAATTTATCTTCATCAAAGAATCATTGAAAAACAAATAGAACAACCTTATCAGAATGTAGGAAACAGTAATGCCAACAGTGGTGGATGAAGGAAACGAATTTAGAAATGGTAGATGGTCTTGTGGCTGAAAAAACTGTATTTTGGTCAAATATATTTCTAACAAAATACTCATGATTTTAAGCATTTTAAATGTACAACTTAGTGATACTAATTACATTCCCATATTTTGTAATTGTCACTTTATCCATTTAAAAGTAGTTTTCATTATCCAAAGCAGAAGTTTAGTAAGCAGCTCTGGTGGCCTAGAAGCTGTACTACAATCCTAAAGGCACGCAGTTCAAATCCATCCACTGCTCCAAGGGAGAAGGGTGGGCAGTCACTTCCAGTGCAATTAACTGCTTCTCAAAACCTGCTGGAGAGTTGGTTCTGACTCATGGTAAGCAACAAGAATTACAACATGCAATAATTCCTCTCTCACACCTCTGGTAGCTTTTGGTTACAACTGATAAATGTTATACAGTGCAATGATGGTTTTTTTAAAATAAAATGTTTCTTTTATACGGGTTTATTTACAAAATTCATAAATGTTGTTTTTCACACTGGGTCTTTCCTTATTCCTTTATCCACCCCTCCCCCCACCCATCAAATTGTGGAACTCTATGATTAACCAACCACCCCCAGTCCCCTGCCCAACCTTACCCCCCTGCTCAATACAGTCGCCTCACGTATGTAGAATTCAGGAAGTATGTGAATAATTCCTTTAGCTTCATTTACAAGTGTGTTTATGATGAGAATCTGAATGCATCTTAATTGTCTCTTTTTAAAAAATTTATATATGTCAGATGAATTACTAGCTTCATGAAGTTGAAGCTGAGATAAAACTTTCACTTAAAAAATGAACTAACTTGGGAGGGACTGGAGAACATTATGCTAAGTGAACTAACTCAGTCCTATAAGGACAAATACTGTATAAGACCATTATTATGTGTTATAGGTAATTAGTAACACGTGTATGAGGTTCTAAGTGGGAGTAGGGGAGAGCAGAGGGTTGAGGGGGAGTTAGGTAATCATACAGTCGCACAATTTGATGGGTGTAGGGAGGGGGTGGGTTAAGGAAATGGGAAAGATTCGGTGTGAAAAACAATTCACACAAACTTTGCAAGTAAACTAGTATACATTAAAAATTTTGAAATATTATATTAAAATTATATTAAATATTATATTAAAAGAATAAACTAAGGCTGCAGTTACTTAGAAATAAAATATAATTGCTAAGTTGTTAGTGGTATCCTGAAGTTGGATGTGTGGCTTGTTTGCCATTGTTGCATTGTCTCTCAGCGCTGCACTGATCTTGAAATAGCAGCTTCCCAAATGATCTCTTCCACATATAAAGTAAAAAATATGGGAACAGGGCTTACATACTCCTTTGCTGATTTTGAATCGTGCAGTATTTTGCTGCTCTGTTAAAAAATGACTGCTTCCTGGTCCAAGTATAGGTTTTGCATGAGAACAACCAAGTGTTCTGGGATTCCTGTTCTCCTCAAGGTTAGCCAAAATTTGTACTGATCCATAGTCAGATGTCTTTGCATAGCCAATGAAACACAGACATTCCTCTGGTACTCGCTGCTTTCAGCCATGATCTGACAATAACTATGATGTCCCTAGTACCACAGCCTCTTCTAAATTCAGCTTACACTTCTGGAAGTTCTCTGTTGATGTACTTTTCAAGTGGTTTTTGGATAATCATTAACATGATTTTTCTTATATGTGGTATCAGTGATATTGTTCAATAATTTCCAAACTCTCTCAGTCACCTTTTGTGATAGGGCTTTTTGAATTTTTTACCTCATGTTGTATTAGTTTAAGTAAGTAATAGATTTCTAGAAATTCATCTCTTTTTCTCTAGATGCCTTTGAATTGTGGTGTTGGAGAAAAATGCTGAATATATCTTGTAAACCACAAGATATATTCAGCATTTTTCTCCAACACCACAATTCAAAAGCTTCAATTCTTCCATCATCCTTAATTCATCCCTCAGAAGCATAGAAAATGATGGAAAGACTATGGCTTGAATCAGGCACACTTTAGCCCTCAAGCTGACATCATTGCTCCTCAATAATTTGGCAAGGTCCCTAACTACAAATTTTCCCCTTGCAATATGTTTCTTGATTTCTTGACTGCTAGTCCCAAGTCTATTGATTGTGGATGCCAGCAAGTTGAAGTTGTTGACAGTTTCAGTCTTTTCTCTGTTATGATGTTGCCTATCAATCCAATGGTGAGGATTTTTTTTTCTTGATGTTGAGATATAATCTATATTGACGGCTACAGCAAGTACTTCAAGCCCTCGACACTTTCAGCAAACAACATTTTGTGACTATATTACAAAGATTATTGATGAGCCTTCCTCCAATCCTGATAATTCTTCATAGAGTGCAGCTTCTCAACTATTTTGCTCAGCATACAGATTAAATAGATAGGGAGAAAGGATACAACTGTAACACCTTTCCTATTTGTATACTGTGTCATGTTCTTTGCTATGTTCAAACAACAACATCTTGGCCTAGGTCTAGGTTTCTCACGAGCACAATTAAATGTTTTAAGATTTCCATTCTTCTTAATGTCAGCCATAATTTGTTATGATCTACACACAAACGCCTTAGAATTGCTAATAAAATACAAATAGACATTCTTCTGGTATTCTTTACTTTCAACCAGGATCTGTCTACTTCAGCAATGCTATCTCTGGTCCCATGGCCTCTTCTAAATCCATCTTGAACTTCTGGCAGTTATCTATGTACTGTTTTAGCCAGTTTTTAATGATCTTGAGCAGTATTTTACTTGCATGTATATCAATTCAGTTGTTCAATAATTTCCTCATTCTTTTGGACAACTTTTCTTGAGAATGGGAGCAAATTTGGATCTCTAGTCAGCCAGCCAGGCAGCTATCCTCCAAATTTCCTGGCATAGGCAGGTGAACTGTGAGGCCTGTTTATTCAGTGTTTCCTGAGACTTACTTACACAGAAGAAATAGTCTTTCCTCTATCACAATGAGTATCCATAGCATAAATCTCACAGTGTTGAGAGGCAAGCACTGATATTAGCACAAAAAATAGCCATCTGCTTTAAATCTAGGTCTGTCCTCTTGAGCAGCACATGCAATCTCTCTTGTAAATGGGGGTTATGATAAGAACTGGCTGCATAGGGTTGTTCTGAGATTAAAATAGTATGTGGGAAATGCTAAGACTAGCTTATGTTGTTGTTGTATGCTGTTGGGTCGGAACCCACGCATAGCTGACTTTCCAGTGAGTTTTCAGAGCAAGTAAAATTAAAATCACCTGGAAAGAGGTTGCCCATCCTTCTCCCACAGAGCAGCTGATGGATTTGAACCGTTTGCTTTGGGATTACTGTACAGCTTTTTATCATTAGGATTGCCACTGCTAAGTTACCAAATGGTCATAAAGAAAAGTAATATTTTTTCTTTTTATCTTGCAGCAAGAATTATGTTCTTCCCTTACAGTGCAGCTGTCCAGTTGATTTTGAGTTTCATATTGCTTTGATTCAGGCACATGAAGCTTTTACTATTGAGCCATCCTCAGGTAAGAAGAATAAATATTTCAGGTTTCTTACTACCTTAGGTTTCTAAATAAAATAGTTTGGAAAGTAACCGTTCCAAATCACAGAGAAGATGTGGGAAGAGTGCCGCTAAGATCTTTAATGTTGTTACAATGAGGATTGTAACTGGGGTCCTAAGACACAATGTGTAGGAATGGGCCAATTGAAATCCAATCTTCTCTGTAAACTTTCACTCAAATCACAAGAAAAGGTTACAAATGAAAAAAAGATCTTAAGTTATGAAAGGGAATAAGGACTTTCTTAGTGTATTGCTTTAAAAATATAGCATGAATAAACCAGGTATTTGCTATAGTATGCATTCTAATTGGTCACTTGTGAGTATGGATACTTTTGGATAATTTGTGTTATACAGGTAGTTCATTAGATTTGTCTCATGTGTAGTGTGAGCAGCCTGTCTTGGCATACCCCAGATGATGATGTTTACAGAGCTGCCTGCACCAATGAGAGAAAATTCCCCCTCATGTGGTTTCAAATTCTGGATTTCTCTGGATTTCTGGTTCTTGATGTTTTTGTATGCTGTTGACTTGGAATTGACCCATAGTTGACCCTTCAGGAGATTTTCAGGGGCAGTAGATCACATGGGAAGAGGTTGCCCATCTTTCTCCTATGATGCATCTGGTGAATTGGAACAGTGTTCCTTTGGGTTGGCAGCACACCTTATTATTTCTCCACAGAATCTACAATGAAGTTCCTAGGAGCTTGCTGCCTAGTGTTCTTATATAAAGTTTCAATATTTTCATTTTCTCTATTTTTAAAAAAAATCCAAATTTTAAGAATCTGTGAGTTGCACAAGATGAGTTTGCCCATCTTTCTCTCTTGTGCCTTTGGATTGACAGTGCAATTCCTTACCACTAGGCCACCAGAATTCCCAAGGGACTCAAATAATTTTATATTTTGCATTTTCAGTCAACACATAAATTTCTTCTAACTTTATATTGATTTAAGAGTAATGCTAAAGATTATTGAGAAAAGATAATATCACAATGATGTTAACTTGAGTTTTGTTGACTTTAAAAAGGCTTTTCACTATGTGGATCATAGCAAACAATGGTTAACATTGATAATAATGGGAATATAAGAACGCTTAATTGTAACAGAAAGGGCAATCTAGGTAGAGCTTTCAAGTATGGAAATACAAAGGAAGAGGAACAGTTGTAAGCAGACACTAGTGATTGGACCATGGAATGTGAGAACTATGAATGTAGGAAAATTAGAAATTGTTAAGAAAGAAATGAACGCATAAATATTGACATCCTAGGGATTGGAGAGATGAGATGGACTGGCATGGGGCATTTTGAGTCAGAGGAAAAGGTGAGAAAAAATGGGGTTGCTTTCATAGTTAAAAAAGTAATTTCTAGATCCATCTTGAAGTACAACATTGTGAGTGACAGGATTATATCCATATGCTTACAAGGAAGTCCGGTGAATACCACTATCATTCACATATATGCACCAACAACCAGAGCCAAAGAAGAAGAAATAGATGATTTCTACCAACTTTTAC